CGGTGACTTGAGCATGTTGGAGATCTACTGACAATTGTTGGATACAGTTTTGCAGTTCCTCATCTTGCAGCTCCAGGGAGGTGATCTACAGTTAAAAAAACTACAGTAATACAAGTTTTTCTATGCAAAATGCAGGTCATCTGCAGAAAACAAACACACTGCCATGAATGTTTTGCCAAAAAAGGGGGGGTACAGTACAAACATTATTCAAAAATACTGGCCATGTTGCTCAACAGGCAGCATTCTCTCCTATGAGAATGCAATAAGATTTACATCTTACTTTGGAAAAAGAGCCAGAAAGCTGCAGAAATTCCAGATCCATAATTTAGAAACAAAAAACATTGACTTCAGAAGTGTGCTTTGAAATTGTGACAGAATCACAATCCAAGTTCAAGCCTTTGGAAGGACATCTAAATTTTACATGGCTGACTTGCCACATAAAGATAGGATGACATACAGCGTACTGCTCTGTGGTGGTCCCAAAATGCAGCGGGAATTGGCTTGAGGGGATAAAAAACCCACATGCTTGAACTGTTCATGACCATCATATCACAGCTTGGGCTTAAAAAGGTTATATTCTTGCTTTAAGAAGCTAGAGTCAGTTAAGTACCAGATGCGGTGACTTTTTTACCTTACTCACCTCATCTCTAGGATAAAAATGTTTATGCTTCTTCTCATGCCCTCTTTTTCACTTTCCTGTTTTCCCTTGATGGCGTCTTCTTCCCTTTCAGCAACTCTGAGCAGATTCAGGAATTTAGTGAGACAACCTATGAAAATAGTAGCTTTTTAGCTTGCGGTCTGGCTTTCTTCCCAAAGAGCAAGGAGCACACAAAGGCCTCTTGTGCTCTGTAGAACAGGATTGGTGATTTTGGGGGACCTGTACGCATGAGGATGCACGCTAGCTTTTCTTTTGCTTGACTTCTTTAGTTGCAGCATCCCTTTATCATCACTATTTTCTCTACACTTTATAGTACACAAAGGGCTTTTATTTTTTTCCACTAAATCGTCTGAAGCTTGAATAAAAGTTTGTTGGTGGATTGAGACCCTCTACCCACTCTTTATGATACCTGGTGTGGTGCAGTGGCTAGAGTGAGGAACTGAAACTTGGGATACCTTGGTTCAAATCCCTGCTCAGCTGTGGAAACTCACTGGGTGGTGTGTGTGTGGAATTGGTAAAAATGCTCCTTAAATATCTCACTTACCTTGAAAGCTATATTAGGGTTTCTGTAAGCTGGTTCCAAGTTGATGACTCATAGCATAACAGCACCCTGCTGTTTGAATTCAACCGGGATGATTGGGCTGCTCAGCTGGATTTCAAAGGTGGCCAGTAGCTGTCTGGGGAAGGATATGCCTCCTGTTGTACTAAAGGAAGTCTGTGATAGTTGTTTTTGGATCCCTTAGTTCTGGATGATGCCTCACAAATGTTTTTGGAGGTAATTCAGTAGTGGGTAAGAGAAAACATGCAGAGATGGAGGTGCTGGACCTAGGCAAATATTTGTAAACTATGTACAGTCTGCACAGAGGGGAGGGAACAGGGACAAACATGGTAGTTCCACACTTCCTTCTGTCCCCATCATCTTCACCCTCAGTTTGTAGAAGGTGATTGTTGGTAGCTGGCAGCCTCCTCTCCCCTTGGAGGCTCTCCCTAGGATTTGGACCTCTGGAAAATGATGGAAATAACATTTTATGGTGAAGCTAACATCCTCATTGCCCATCCTTGGGAGTAGACCATACATGTTTTAATACCAGTATGAGAGGAGAAATTTGCTGATCCATTTGGAGCTGTGAGACTGGGTTTGAACTTCCTTGGAGGACCAGATACACAGAGTAGGCTGGACTAATTGGTATTTAGGTAAGCAGAGATGGGAAAGGTTATCATGAGTGTCTTTTATCAACTTTGTCAAATTCAATAGCAGTGTCACCATTTGGTGAAATGGGCCTATATACAGTCATTCAAGGCCTAGTCACCCTGTGGCACATTTAACATGCTCCAAAAAACACCGGATCTATACTAGCAGCATCAACTTTCAGTGCATTTTCATGTCCAATTTGTTGTTGTATAAGCTGCCTTTTGGATGCCTTGCTTGCAAAAAAATAATGATAATAATGGAATGTGCAGCTTTCTGAGTGTGTATCTTCATTGTAGCTCCAAAGCCCTGAAAACTGGACGCTTGAGACTTGGCCTATGAACTCCTCAAACATTGCAAAGAAAAGATAGATGGAGCGAGAGGGAGGGAGAGGGAGATACTGATGGGAGGAAGAGGAGGGAAGAGAGCTGAGCAAACACTGAAGTAAAAGAAAGAGAAAGACCAATAACATAGAAAAGAAAAGATGGAAGGCAAATAGGTTTTTAAGGTTGTATGACTGTCATGTTAAAATTAATAAATTAATAATCAGAATAGCATCCAGATCAATTCTTGCTTGGCATCTCACAGTGCCCATGACAGTGAATCCCATGACAGTAAATGCAGAGAATCTAGTATTGCAAAGATCATATGCAACCTGTACTGTGCTTTCCACCCCAGATTCCAGTGAGAACTGTACAGATAACGTGAAGATGGAGTTCACACAGCATTCCCTTATTCAAGAAATGCATAAAAGCTGGTTCTAATATTTGTGTTTCAGTGGGCCATCCATATGTAAATTATTTAAGAAAAGATTACCAAAAGTCTCAGATAAAAGCTTCCCCCACCTTTTTAAGGGAAAAAAAAGCAATACTAGCCATATTTGATTAACCTAAATCTTGATATATTTACAATCCATATGTTAAAGAAGAATTTGTTCCAAAGCTCTATGTTAATGAGCTTTGTGTGGTCCAGCAACATACAGAATAGGTAAAAGGTTCCCCTTGACAATTTGTCTGGTCGTGTTTGACTCTAGGCGGTGGTGCTCATCTCCGTTTCCAACCCATAGAGCTAGCGTTTTGTCCGCAGACAATCCTCTGTGGTCACATGGCCAGCGTGACTAGACACGGAACGCTGTTTACCTTCCCACTGAGGGGGTACCTATTTATCTACTCGCATTTTGCATTTTGCATGCTTTCAAACTGCTAGGTTGGTGGGAGCTGGGACAAGCTACAGAGGCTCACTCAATCGTGTGGATTTGATCTTACGACTGCAGGTCTTCTGACCTTGCAGCACAGAGGGTTCAGCGGTTTAACTCGCAGTATCACCATGCAGCACAACATACAGAATAGGGTGCGTCTTTTCCCCTGTGGGGAATGGGGAGGTATGCTGAAGACACCTTAAAGGAATAGAGCTGTCCATGGTGCTGATACAATACCCATTAAAGAGATGTCTGGAAGTTTCTCAGTGATGAAGTCTTCCTCATTTCATATCCCCTTCAGTGCTCTGCCAGTTTGATGATTTGGAAGGCACAAAATCTGGGATCACTGTAAATTCACAGCTGCAATGTTTATGAGGCACAAAATCTGGGATCACTGTAAATTCTAGGGCAATCATAACACAGCTGCAATGTTTATGTGTGTGTGTAAGCATCTACCTTTCCTTCTTCATCTCATTGAAATTTCCTTATTTAATTAAATTTGTGTGTGGAATTTTGTTTAAACTGCAATGCAGAGGGAGAACTATTGTGCTACAGTGCTTAGAGTGTTGGACTATGATACAGGAGGCCTGAGTTCAAATCTCATTAAACAATTAAATTAATTGAGTGGCCTTGTGTCTGTCAAAATCTCTCTGGCTGACCTACTTCACAGCATGGTTGTGAGAATAAAGTGAGGGTAGAAGAGCTGTGTATGCCACTTTGAGCTTACTGGAGGAAAGGCAAAATATAAATGCAACTGGGAAATAAATACACATACCCATCTCTTCTCCACTGAGATCATGACCAAAAAGGAAAATAAAGAAGAAAAATATCAGACCCACACATTTACACACATAGTGTAGTTAAGCTTTAAAAAAACTCCCATTGACTCCAAAGTTGTTTTTAGATGTTTATGTCTTGTGGTTTAGGAGGCAATGTGATAATCATGGGTACTTTCTATACAGTAGTGAATGAAATGTTGAGAATCTCTACTCTACAAGATGCAATGCTGTTGTATCATTAGTGAAATCGGAAATTAGTCCTGCGTGTGGACATTCTCATTCTAAGCATAGCAGTGGGATTTTTAGTTTCTCCACAAAGGCAGAGGTAACCAAAGCTTTCCTGAAATGTGATAGAGGTAGAAGGACCATGATCTCAGTTGTAGGAAATTGCAAAAGAGCACATAATAGGAAACTGAAAAGGCCTTCTCTCCACAGAGAGTTGTTCTCAGACAATTATGGCTATGATCCCATTTTGGTATCTGGGGTGATCAAAAGGAATGGAAGCAATAAAAGTCTAAAATGAAAGGAAACACACATCTTTTGGTAAATTCCATTTTGCACCTATACAGCCTATCCTGTGTAATCTGGATGCCACCCTACTGTTGTGTTGCTGATTTATTCTACCAGTTCTATGGCTTGTGTAGCCAGTAATCATTCCCCTCATGTTCATCCATTCTGATTGATAGAACTACAGTAGGTGACAAAGAAACACACATTTCACTGCCTTCTAAGATTGCTTATTTTCTTGTTTGTGTAATACTTCCCTACTAAGTGGCAGTGGGATATCCTGTCTTCTTCAATTGCAGCTAAAAAGAAGAGGTGTGTTGCAGGTATAACTTATGCAGGCATGTTGCTTGAAATAAATGTGGTAGCTCCTCTTTTGTATGAATGCCTCTTTCCTTAATAAGAGATTACTTCATGGAAATCTTATGATGATTATATGCATATTTATTTATGAAGACATTCCACTGAACCTGTTGGGATTTACTCTTATGTAACCACATGTAAAATAGGGCTGCATTACTACATATGCATTGTTACCAATGAGTTTGGATATGTGAAAACATGAATTTAGAGCATAAGAATGTCATAGGATAAATGTATAATTGAAATGTTTTTATGTGAGCTGAATAAAAGCAGGTTGAATTATTATATTTCTTTCTCCCTCCATTTTAGGTTACAGACATGATGCTACAGGACAAGCCTTATCCTGACTGGGGGAAATCTGCCAGAGCTTTTTGGAAAAGGGGAAATACCAGGATCGTTTTGTTCTGGTAGGCAGCAGCACAGTTCATTTACCAAGATTTCCTGCCTACATGCCTGTACCAAACATGGCATCTTACTCTTTTGTTGTGAACCGCTATGAAGGGGCTGTTTCCTAAGTGATGTAGCTTATAACTGTGATTATCATTTCTAATTAAATGCCATATTGCATCTGTTCACCCAGCAAAAATCATATTCTTAAGTACAGTAGGACAGAAACTACACTACACCAAGAACCAATGCTGTGATTCTTCAGCGTGACCATCTGTACTGCAGACCCAAAACATGTTTTCAATATACACCAGCTTTATAAAAGTCACCACTTAATGGAGGAGCAAGTAGATACACATTTCTTTTGGCCAGCATGAATCTAACAGTACATGTGATCCTGGCCTTCTACTTGAGGGCCATCTATTCATAAAGGTGAAAATAAGACAACTCCTTTTTCAAAAATGAAGGGGACAATTGGGCTGTCATGTGAACATCTTCCAAACAGAAGTCAAATGTGCTGTTTCCTTATGATCAACTAACAAAGCTCTTCATTTTGCTATGGCAACTGCCTCGTTGGCACCATGCATATAACTATCCATTGCTGTAGCTGCTTAAGTAACACTTAGTACAAGACTTCTCTAAATTGCAAGACGAGCTTCAGTATAAGTGGTCAACACTAACATAATCTATCCAGCGTCATGGATGTATTTGGTGATGGAAACCGATTATGACTTTTCATGTAAGCAATAACAGCTTCAAGCAGAATGAAAATGCTACCACTTTGGGTCATCAACAGAGTTGACTGATTTAGGACAGAAGAGAGGAAACATGTCTTCATGCAACATGAAATTAATGTACAGAACCACTTACATAGTAGTCTGGGTAACTTTGAAAGAGGAATAAGAGGAAACCATTGAGGACAAGTCTAGCAGAGAAATCATAGGCATTCTGGGCATTTTTGTCCAAAAGGCAACTGTGGCATTCGCCCTTGTGGCCCCTGCTTGTCTTTCCCTCACAAAGGCTCATGTCGCATTTTCCTCTCGCTGCCACCAGTGGATTACCTCAATCGATAATATAAATGACATTTGTCTGAACACTTGATTTGTGAACAGAAACAGAATGTATTTATTGAAGTGAAGCAGATTGAATAATATCAGAAGTTTCTCAGATAAACATACACAAGCAAATCATCAACAGTTCTCTCAGTACATACGCCTTTTCTCTAGCTATGTCAATACCACCTTCTCTACCTATTTTCTTAACCAGTTTTATCTCTCAGTATCTGTTTTCCCCCCGATTAACCAGCCCTATATGACTACCTATTTTCTTAACCAGTTTTATCTCTATCTGTCCCCCCCCGACTAATCAGCCCTATCTGACTCCTTCTTCTTCCACCAAACCTCATGTAGCTGTTGACTCCGCCTCTCCAGTCCTCTCATAGGCTCATGCAAATCAGCTCATGAATACGAATAGAATAAGTGACATGGCGATAGTCACAGCAACTTTTCAAAATTCCAGGTTTATTCTTTTCTTCTCCAGCTAGTAGACTCTATCCCAAAGTGCCTATCTGATTACTGTTAAAAATGAATGACTAGATGAGTCCTAACTCTAACAGAACAACAGAAACTATACTGGATGTGATCTTTACACAGAATTCATAAGTAAATACATATCTAATATTGCAGTGGACTTTGGGCTGGTATAGTGGCACTATTCGATGTTAGTCTTAGTCTGATCCAGTGGTGCTGTGAAGTTCTTATAAGTATCTTCTGCATAAATGTTTTGTTTCAAGATGAGGAGTATTATTTTTCCTGTCAATCTAAAAAGTGTTGTTGTTGATGTTGTTTAGTCGTTAAGTTGTGTCTGACTCTTCGTGACCCCATGGACCAGAGCACGCCAGGCGCTCCTGTCTTCCACTTCTGCCTGGAGTTTGGTCAAATTCATGTTGGTAGCTTCGGTGACACTGTCCATCCATCTCATCCTCTGTCGTCCCCTTCTCCTCTTGCCTTCACACTTTCCCATAATCAGGGTCTTTTCCAGGGAGTCTTCTCTACTCATGAGATGGCCAAAGTATTGGTGCCTCAGCTTCAGGATCTGTCCTTCCAGTGAGCACTCAGGGTTGATTTCCTTCAGAATGGATAGGTTTGTTCTCCTTGCAGTCCAGGGGACTCTCAAGAGTCTCCTCCAGCACCACAGTTCAAAAACATCAATTCTTCGGTGGTCAGCCTTCTTTATGGTCCAACTCACACTCCCATACATTGCTACTGGAAAAACCATAGTTTTGACTATGTGGACCTTTGTCGGCAAGATGATGTCTCTGCTTTTTAAGAAGCTGTCTAGGTTTGTCATCACTTTCCTCCCCAGAAACAGGCATCTTTTAATTTTGTGGCTCCTGTCACCATCTGCAGTGATCAGGGAGCCCAAGAAAGTAAAATCTGTCACTGCTTCCATATCTATTTGCCAGGAGATGATGGAACCAGTGGCCATGATCTTAGTTTTTTTGATGTTGAGCTTCAGACCATTTTTGAGCTCTCTTCTTGTACCCTCATTAAGAGGTTTTTAATTCCTCCTCACTTTCTGCTATCAGAGTGGTATCATCTGCATATCAGTGGTTGTTGATATTTCTTCCGGCAATCTTGATTCCATCTTGGGATTCATCTAGTCCTGCTTTACGCATGATGTATTCTGTATATAAGTTAAATAAGAAAGGAGACAATATACAGCCTTGTCATATTCCTTTCCCAGTTTTGAACCAATCAGTTGTTCCATATCTTTTAAGATTTTAAATAGTTCCACTGGAATGCCATCACCTCCACTGGCCTTGTTGTTAGCCAAGCTTTCTAAGGCCCACTTGACTTCACTCTCCAGGATGTCTGGCTCAGGCTCAGCAACCACATTATGTGGGTTGTCCGGGATACCCAAATCTTTCTGGTATAATTCCTCTGTGTATTCTTGCCATCTCTTCTAGATGTCTTCTGCTTCTGTTAGGTCCCTCCCATTTTTGTCCTTTATCACATCCATCTTTGCATGAAATGTTCCTTTAATAGCACCAAATTTCTTGAACAGATCTCTGGTTTTTCCCTTTCTATTATTTTCCTATATATCTTTACACTGTGCATTTATGAAGGCCCTTTTGTCTTTCCTTTATTCTTTGGAAGACTGTATTCAATTTTCTGTAGCTTTCCCTATCTCCCTTGGATTTTGTTTCCCTTCTCTGCTATTTGTAAGGCCTCGTTGGACAGCACTTTGCTTTTTTGCATTTCCTTTTCTTTGGGATGGTTTTTGTTGCTACCTTCTGTACAACATTACGAGCCTCCATCCCTAGTTCTTCAGGCATTCTGTCCACCAAATCTAGTTCCTTAAATCTGTTCTTCACTCCCTCTCTGTATTCATAAGGGATTCATAATGAATACAGAGCAGGAGTGAAGAAAGTAGGAAGAAAGTAGGAAAAACTACTGGGCTAGTCAGATTATACCTGACTAGCCCAGTGGTTTTTCCTACTTTCTTCAGTTTAAGCTTGAGTTTTGCTATAAGAAGCTGATGATCAGAGCCACAATCAGCTCCAGGTCTTGTTTTTGCTGACTGTATGAGCTTCTCCATCTTTGGCTGCATAGAATATAATCAATCTGCTTTCGGTATTGCCCATCTGGTGATGTCCATGTGTAGAGTCGCCTCTTGTGTTGTTGGAAAAGAGTGTTTGTGATGACCAGCTTGTTCTCTTGCCAAAACTCTATTAGCCTTTGCCCTGCTTCGTTTTGAACTCCAAGGCCAAACTTCCCTGTTGTTCCTTTTATCTCTTGACTCCTTACTTTAGCATTCCAGTCCCCTATAATGACAAGAACATCTTTCTGTGGTGTCAGTTCTAGAATCTATAAAGTACAAAACCAGAAAAAAAGGGAGTCAGAAATAACAGACGTACATATTTATTGAAATGAACCCATAATTTTAAACAGCCCGTATGTTGGGGTGATCATTAATTATGTTCAGTATCCCAGTCCTCTAGAACTAATTGGTAATAAGAATTTTCATAAAGTCAAATGACATATCTCTTCACATTCTGATAATTAGAATTTTCATTCCAAAATTAGGTTTCTTACCACATTCCAAAGACTATGTTTTCTTTTGCTATTTTTCATGAAGTTTTTTTTCATAATACATTTTGTGCATTAACATTTCATGCCAAAGATTCCTCTTTTGTGCATCATCTGATTGTGGGGAAGGTTTTATTCCCCATTTTTGGCCAGCAGTGCAGTAATTAGCAGATTTGTTACTGTTTTACATAACTTAGTGTTATCTTTTTAAGTCTACCCAAGAGGGAAAGCAAGGATAGTTTGGTAATTTATGTTCTACCTTCCTTCAACTGTGTTAGTTGCTGTTTTGTTTTTTTCCAGTGTGAGTTTTGTAAGTGTACTTTTACCTTGTAATAATTTGTCACAAAAATCTGGACATTGCTTTTGTTCATGTTTAAGAAATTTATCAACCAGGAAGAATTAGTCCAATTGGGATTTTAAACATGTAAAGGGCAATGTAAGTGTCTTTATTTTTAACTGTGGGCAATGAAATACAAATGTCTTAGGCAGCACATCGCATATAGTGACATTATTTGTGAACTGGCTGCCAAGAATTCAGGAACATCAACCTACGTGTTCTAGTAAGCAGAAAGGAAAGGAAGTGGGAAAACCTAACAGTATTAAAATGTAGTATAATAGTGTCTTGTAGCACATTTAAAATGAGCAAAACTACTGTTTTATGTCTTTCCTTTTTTAAAATCACATTGTGTCTTTTGGCTCTGTTCTCCAGTCTATCAAAGTCCTATTGAATTCTGATTCTGTCTAGCTCCCCTCCAAGTTTGGTGCCATCTGTGAATTTGATGAGCATCCTGTGCATACCCTCATCCATTTAAAAAAAATATTGAACAATATAGGGCCTAAAACAGAACTTTTGGTACCTACCCCCCTTGTCATTTCTCACCAGAATAACTAGGAGCCATTGGTGAACATTCTTTGGGTACTCAACCAGC